ACCTATGAAAGGAGACGATATATTCATGGGAGAAAGGATTTATTGAGGACAAAGTAGAAGATCAAAGTAAATCTCCGCCTAAGACAATACTCAGAAAGGACCCGTTAACAAAAAGTGGACAGGCACTCACAAAACAATTAAAGGGAAAAATCGCTTCCGAAACAGACTCAACTATCAAGACGCCTACAGGCTCTATCTATCGGAAGTCTGATATTGCACAATCGAGAACAGTTTTAATACAGGAAAATCAGCGGAGTGCGAGTAAGAGCCCATCGGCAGAACCTACCGAAAAGTTTCAAAGGATCAGTTCCTCTGAATTACTCGAGGATATAGGTTCCGATGAAGAATTGCAACGAGACATGGAGATAGCGGATGCAATGAACCCCATAGACCGATTCCAACAGAGCCAAACAGTAGTGACTTCAAAAGACGCGGAAGCAGGAGGAGGTCTGAAATTAGCGATCAAGAGAGCAAAACCAAATTTGGCGGGTCCAAGTTCACCTGCAGAGGAGAGCGACAAAAAGAAGACGGAGAAGAAAGCTAAAGAAAAGAAGAACTAAAACAACCAACAAAATGGGACAGGCCAAACTGCGACGGCAGCCGATCCGGAACAGGAGCAATCAACTTCAAAACAATTTTGGCAGACTACTAAAAACGGAATTCAAAATTGTGAGGGATAGGGTTATAACAATTCTGATTATTCAGACAAACAACACTTGGAACGTTCAGCATTGACGGCATCTCAATTGAAACGCAGAATTGACCAATTAAGAGAAAACCTCAAAATAGTACGAAAAGGACAACTCAGCAGAGATACAAGCCCACTGCATAAGCAGCAACTAACCTCGGACAGGGATAGAGAGAGGGCTAAAGCCCTAAATGAACTGCTGGAGGCGAACGCCCGCTGGAACCACGAGAGAAGAGATGCGGCTAAAAATGATATCAGACGATTAGTGGACGAGACCGGACTACTAAATCCTGACCTACGAAAGGAGACGATATATTCATGGGAGAAGGGATTTTTTGAGGACAAAGTAGAAGATCAAAGTAAATCTCCGCCTAAGACAATACTCAGAAAGGACCCGTTAACAAAAAGTGGACAGGCACTCACAAAACAATTAAAGGGAAAAATCGCTTCCGAAACAGACTCAACTATCAAGACGCCTACAGGCTCTATCTATCGGAAGTCGGATATTGCACAATCGAGAACAGTTTTAATGCAGGAAAATCAGCGGAGTGCGAGTAAGAGCCCATCGGCAGAACCTACGGAAAAGTTTCAAAGGATCAGTTCCTCTGAATTACTCGAGGATATAGGTTCCGATGAAGAATTGCAACGAGACATGGAGATAGCGGATGCAATGAACCCCATAGACAGATTCCAACAGAGCCAAACAGTAGTGACTTCAAAAGACACGGAAGCAGGAGGAGGTCTGAAATTAGCGATCAAGAGAGCAAAACCAAATTTGGCGGGTCCAAGTTCACCTGCAGAGGAGAGCGACAAAAAGAAGACAGAGAAGAAAACTAAAGAAAAGAAGAACCAAAACAACCAACAAAATGGGACAGGCCAAACTGCGACGGCAGCCGATCCGGAACAGGAGCAATCAACTTCAAAGTCGGGGAAGTTAGGTCATAAAACTCAGACAAGTTCTACGCCTTAATCAAAACAGCGGACAAACTTGAAATGTATTGATTCCCAGACACCTCCAGAGGACATACTAGATACATTCCAGAACCGAAATTTGGCACCTTCCGATTGGGAAAAGTTTGCAGACCAGTTACTAAAACGTGGAGTTCAGAGAGTTGCGGACGATATTAGAGGAAACCCACAACAAATTTCGGAGAAAGATACGACATTTGAACCACCACAAGGATTCTCGGACGAATCGAGTGCGGAGGAGTCGAGTGTCAGACGAAGCTCCAGGCAAACGAAGAACAAGGAACCGAAACGCTTTGGTGACCCGATAAAGCACTCAATTAAAGAGATTTCAGAGAATCTGACAGGGGGAGCACTCCTCAAAACAGAACTTCAGAAATATCGTAAAGAACTAAGAGACTTCAAGGAACGAAGTGATAGACCTGTGGAAGCAAAATTAAGACGGCTCGAACGACACTTATTCATGCGAAAATTTGGGTATGCTACGCTAGATGAAGGAGTGGAATGGAATCCGAGTTGCGAAATAGAGCTGGAAGAAAATTGAAGAAAACTATGAACTAAACCTTCAGTAACCCAAAAACTTTCTTGTGAACTGAGTACAGTAAACTCTTTTTAAGATAAATTATCCTACTTATGTTGTATAATTTATTTTTACCGAGGGGGGTGTGTCATACCGCTACTGCAATAGCAGTAATTGATTATGTATGTACTACCAACCTCCGGTGCTTAGTTATTACTTTCATGGTATACTCAAGGTCACAGTGTGTTATGACATTGAGACCAAGTGAGAGGTCAGAGTTGTTCAGTGCTGATCTAGTTCTCAATAACCAATAACAAAGCAAAGAAAAGAAAACTAAATTCAATATACAGAATACAGTATTGAATTACACCTTGTTTTCAATTGATATCGCAACGCATATCACACAAAGTTTCAAGCTTCTTTTGCTGTTTACTTGGAATTTTTGTACTACGAACACTTCCCTGTCGCTCCTTAAGTAAATGGCCAAACCACAACTTAAAAACAATTTTTTACGGTTTTGTATCCGGCTAGTGTTCAAAAAAAGAAAACCGCACAAAAATGAAACATTTTTCGTTCTTTTTCTCGCTTATCATTTAAAATGTGCATCTTATGTCACGTTTTTATACGCGTGAGCCGAGATTTAATCCGTCTTATAAATGTTTACTGATTAACACTTTGTTGATGCGAAATATATCTTTTTGTTTTTTTTTCAGACGTACGGAAGTATAGTTTCCTGATGTTAAAAAAAATCGGATTTTCTGAATGTTTAAGAATTTCTCTGAAGCGAAAACTGCAGTCGAAATTGACCTTAAAAGTCCTCACTCTGTTACAAAAAAAATGTTGATTTGACTTTCGAAGAAAAAAACGCGAAGATTTGAGCTCGAGGTGTTTCTCTACTAGCAATTTATGACCAATTTATTTTTGTCATCCTTAAATTATCGTTGTACTGAGTTTAATAGAAATGATTTTGTCACCTTCGATCTTTTTTCGTAAAATCAAAGAAGTTTGAACATTGCCTATTCGATCAATTTAGGATCAATTTTTAGTTTTTTTTTAAAGCGAACACTACACTACATTGTACTTAAAAGGCAGTCGGAACATTAAGGGCTTTGCCTTGATACGAGCAGTCTTGTTTTTTTTGCGCTCTATTTAGTTTTGTTCTTAGGAAAATGGATACTCTCTTTCCAATATGTTACTCCTGTTTAAGCCAATATTTTATTCCTGGTTAAGTCAAGCATGCCACAAAAAATATAGTTTATAATTCATGTTAGCCAAAAACTAAACTATTGCGTTCGCCGCCGTTATGAAACCCACTTATAATGTGGTCGAAAACGGAGCGAGATACTGCCATATTCTGCAAAACCAGTTCAGAGGAGTTCGTTTGTTCTCTTAATGCATAATTTTACTGATCTGAAACAAATATTCATTCTGCAAATCAATAGTTTCCCTGTATCCTTCTCTTCAAAAGCAAGAATCAGTCAATTTCATTCCTTTTTCTACGAAAATAATTTTATCTTTTTGGATAATTTGTAGAAATTGGGAAGAAACAAAAACAAGACTGCTCGTATCAGGGCGAAGCCCTGAATGTTCTGACTGCCTTTTAAGATTTATGGAGCAGCAGTAAAAGCATAAAAAAATTAAATGAAATAAAATAAAATAAAATTTTTTTCTAAAATTTGAAATTTTTTGTAAAAATCATCCCCCCACACGCCATATAAAGTACAAAAAGAGAAATTTCATTCCTTGTAACAAATCAATTATGGCAAATAAGCTTCCTTCAACCAATTTGGAACGATTTATAGGACGGATTAAACCTCCGCTTACGCGTTAATAGCGCGAATTATATCGCGCGTTAATTGTCCCAAATTGGTCAAAATGGCCAAAATGGCAATCTTTGAACCCTCATAACTCTTCGAAAAATGATCACAGGTAAATTATCTTTTCAAATGTAAGCTCAGGACAACAATAGCTTTCGAATGATAAAAAAAATTTTCGTCAAAAATGGCTAGTTAAAAAGTCGAAATTTGTCTGAAGAAAAAAAAAAACCCACCCCGAGCACAAATATTCCGTTACTTTCGTATCGAAAGTCGGAACAACAAGACTGCTCGTATCAAGGCGAAGCCCTGAATGTTCCGTTCCGACTGCCTTTTAAGGTTTATGGAGCAGCAGTAAAAACATTAAAAAATTTAATGAAATAAAATAAAATAGACATTTTTTTTTGAATTTTTTTATGAAAATTATCCCCCACACGCCATATAAAACACAAAAAGATAGATTTTGCTCCTTGTAACAAATCAATTATGGCAAATCAACCAATTTGGAACGATTTATAAGACGGATTAATTCTTCGCTTTCGCGTTAATAGAGCGATTTATATCGCACGTTAATTGTCCCAAATTGGTCAAAATGGCAATCTTTAAACCTTCATATCTTTACAAAAAATGATCACAGGTGAAATATCTTTTCAAATTAAAGCTCAGGACAACAATACCTTTTGAATAATATAAAAAAATTCCGTCAAAAATGTCTAGTTAAAAAGTCGAAGTTTGTCTGAAGAAAAAAAACCCACCCCGAGAACTAATATTCCGTTACTTTCGTATCGAAAGTCGGAACAATGACCTTTCCTTTTTTTACTCAAAATCGGGTTTGAATATTTTTTAAAGCATGAAGAGAAAGTAAACCTTTGTATTGCTACGGGTTTAAGCGGAGTACCGGAACTTAAATTTTTTCAAAAGGAAATTTGTTGCATTTTTTCAAAAGTTGTACCTGTTTAAAAGGCAAAAAGGAAGTCAACAAACTGATACTTGGTCAGCAAGAACACGCAAGAGAAAAGTTGCCATAGGGAAGGGTCATTACAAACCCATATGTGAAAAAGGATTTCTAATAATTTTACAATTAGTTATCGCAGACGAAATCTAATCGTGAATTTAGAGGCTGGTAAATCAATTACGCGTGATACGATTACGTACCTCCACGTAGCTCAAGGGAATTATAACCTGCAACTTGCAAATTTCTTCATTTCCTCTGAATTTTGCGGTTATTTGGCAAATAAACCGGGTTTGTTCCTCACATATTTCATCGGCGTTTTCAATCTTTCGTTTTCCAAAATCGATACTACTGCGATCACCAAAATATTTTACCTAAATTCCCCTGTAGGAAGAGATTTAAAAAAGCAAGCGGCCTATTTATGCATTCAAAGTCCTTCAAACTGATTGCTTATTGATATTCTCAGCTTTCTGCAACAATTTGTTCTCATCTACCGAAAAAGTGATAGCAAAAAAGTATTTTGTTCCGCAATTTATAGCTGAGGCTTGGTCACATAGTGTTATAAATTCGCGGAATGCAGAGAACGATGACTGGCTATTTTTTTCAATGTTGGGTGTTCTTTGATTTATTGATTTCCTTTTGAGTTTTAAACAGTGGCTGCAACCGCCTAAGAGAACTCTGCTTTTCCTTACTTTTACTTTCTACAAACAATTTCGTTTTCTGATATTGAAGAGTTATTATCGATCAAAGACCAGCTAAACCATCAAGTTAAACTTTCATATTTTAAAATGAAAATTCTCCGCTCTTTCTGCATACTTTGTTTCATTTTTATCACTTGCGTTGCGTGGCGTGGATATGGTACGTTTCCTTTGCTTTCGATTTTTGTTACTGTTTCTTAAAATGTTTTTGGCATGTTGTATTATGAAATTCGCAGCAAGCACAAATTGCGCAAACTTTTAGGTTTTTTAAACCTGGTTCCTTTCTTTTAACCTCACGTTCAATTCTATCGTAATTATTTTACGAAAATAGCAGAAATATTGTATGGAATTTACTCTGAAATGTTTTTATCCGCCTACAATTTACACCGACCTTTTTATTTACCCCAAATTTATTTGGGTTTGAAAAAAAAAATTGCACCAAGTATTTTTTATGAAAGCGAATGTTCTGGTTTTCTGATCTCAAAAGCCATTATTTTTCAGTTTTGTCTAAAAGAATGTTGAAGTGAAACCAGCCAGCCCAAAGGAGTCACAAAATGATTACACGCAGTGAAGTTTTATGGAGAACAATCGATATTATTCGATATTTTTATCTGAAACGTTGCCATTTTAATCAACCAAAAATACACTTTGGAGCAACGCAATCAATTTATCCATTATAATTCATTATAATGGATTAAAATGGATTTTTTTGTTCAAATTTTTTAAAATTATTCTGCAAGATTTGGATTGTAGCAAAACGAATTGTAGCGTTTGTAATCCAGTTTAAATGCATTAGATTCATTATTTTAGAGATTTGTAGATACTGAATAAAAAATAACAATATAACTGATGATTATCGTTGAAGTTTTGTAGGTAAAATGTTGCAAAATGAAATCGCCTCGATTCTATTTTGAGAAGAATGATCAAACCAAACCCGAAATTGGAGTCGTATTTAAATGAATAGGTCGAACCAAGCTTACATCTTCTCCTTATAGGGAGTTAGGGGAATTTATTATATTAGTTTGTATATGGATTTTTCAAACAAAAAAAAATCACAGCAATGAACAGTTTTGAACCAACTGCATTAGTGGTGTGGAGGATCCTAACTTGATCTGTTTATTGAGGATGGTAACCAGACAAACTCAAAATTGTTTTCTTTCTAAACTAAATCAAGTGGTAAAAACATAGCAAGCATTGTATTGTTGAAAACTCAGACCGGTACTCATACTGTAATACTCTTAAAATAATTACCCTTGCAATAAGGCCTTCTTCACCTCGTTGTTCTCTGTTTATCGAAATTTTTCTGCTGGTTGTTTTTTCCAACACAGTTTGCTATTTTTTTGTTTCTTTTTTTTGGCTTGATAGGTAGGTTTCACTTAATTTTATATCGCCGTAGTGGCGTCATATTGACCTCTTAAAAATAAAAAAATAACGACTAAGTTTCACTGTTAAAACTTTTTGCTGCAAAAAATGAAGGAACTTAGTCTCCAAAGTTCATCATAAGTTCTGTTATCATAGATTTTATAATGAAAATGGGTCCTTAAACTTCGAATTAAAGAAACTCTAAAATTGTTCCGAGCCATGGGTGGCTACCGAAGTCAGATAAGTTTATAACGCAAAGTTTGCCCCCAATGATTGTTGCATTTTTTGAAAAAAATAACACTAAATCTGAGTTGGGCTTAGATTTAGTGATGGGTATCTTCGAAATAAAGAGAGATGAATTGACTTGTCTGAAAGATACCAATGCCCTGACCACAAAAATAAAATGAAATATTCACTGCAATCATTTATCGTGAAGGGCTAGAAAAAGACACTCAGAAAAACTATTTGCAAATTTTTTGTAATATCATTGAGTAAGATGCAAAATGATCAGGCTCAAACATATTTCCTACTTGAATTGAGGCAAATCATTAAGTCTGTTCATTACGCTAAAAAATGCAAGTCATATTAATGTTGACTTATTTTTACAAAATTATGTTACTTTTTTGTTTGAAAATTGAAATACGAAAAAAATGTGCTTTTTTTCGTTCTTGGTTAAAAATTATAAGACCAAGAAACTTGAAAAAAATACTCAAGACAAATTGACTCAAACTCCGACAAATGTTTGTCTTTTACTTTGAAAGACACATGGTAATTTTGATTTTGAATTTTAAACAAGACCGCTGGTATCAGGGCGAAGCCCTTAATGTTCCGACGGCCTTTTAAGGTCTATTGAGTAGTAATAACATGAAACAATTTAAATGTAATGAAATGAAATTAAATTGTTTTTTAAAAACTGAGATTTTTATTAAAATCATCCCCCCACACGCCATATAAAATACAAAAGAATAGATTTCGCTCCTTGTAACAAATCAATTATGGCGAATAAGCTTCTTTCAACTAACTTGAAAGGGTTTAAAAGACGGATTAAGTCTCCGCATACGCGTTAATAGCGCGAAATATGCGAAATATATCGTGCGTTAATTGTCCCAAATTGGCCAAAATGGCAATCTTTAAACCCCCATAACTTTACGAAAAAAAATCACAGGGGAAATATCCTTTCAAATTTGAGCTCAAGACAACAATAGTTTTTGAATGATAAAATTCCGTCAAAAATTGCTAAATTAAAAGTCGAAATTTGCCTGAAGAAAAAAAACCCACCCCGAGCACAATCGTATCGATAGTCGGAACATTAGGAAACCAAACGTGTTGACAAAATAGCAAGACTGCTCGTATCAGGGCGAAGCCTTGAATGTTCCGACTGCCTTTTAAGGTTTATGGTTTATTTTTGTACACCTTTGTTTCGAACTCTCAATGTCAATGAAACATGTTCTGAAAGTATAGGTTAAACGCCTGAAAAAATTTTCACAAAAAATTGAAACATTCCTCTTTTAAAAGGTTCCCCACACACGCTATGCCTAGTACAAGTGATGTTATTATCACACCGAGTTTCAAATCGGAACAATTTATATGCGGTTTAAATAGCCGCTTATGCGTTAATATCACGAAATGTCTGGCCCGTTTGTTTTTCTAAATTAGTTAAATTTCTTACTTTCAAACCACAACTCAAAACATTATGCTTTTAGTTTTCAACTCAAGTCGCTTTCAGATGATATAAGAACACAAATTCGGCTCAAAAACAGCTCGTTAAAAATTCAAAATTGTCCTGGAGAAAAAACAACCCCGTGCAAATTTTGTCTTCGACAATTTTAACATAATTAGCAAGTGGTTCAGACGAAATATAATTTTGAACTGTATGAGCTATTAAAAAACTCATTGAATAAGTAAACTGATTTTTCATTTTTTTTGTGAAATTAATACCACTCTTCATCATGCAAAACCGAAACAAACCTTTAAAAAATTACTGTTATGTGCGGTAAACAAAATTACCGGTTACTTCAGACTAGGAACGGACACATATTTACGGTTACCAAAACTTTTTAAAGCAACATATTAGAAAAAAGTAGTCGGTTGCTCGACAAGTAGCACAGAATAATCCGAACACAATAATTAAAGAAAAGGAATTAGAAGCTTAAAAAAAGATAGAAACATGAATAAAAAATGTCGCCTTATTTCTTTTTTAAGCGTACTGTGACTTTTGTCGACATATAGGCTGACGGAAGTGTGTGGATAAAAGAATTTAAAATACCGCTAATTCAACGTTGGAGTTGTACCGAATAAAATTGAGATGTCAGCCAACGTCGTCTAAACTTTCAGAGTTATTAAATTTTGCATAAATAAGTCTGAAAACCAAAATTGTTTTGAAAGTAGGACTAGATGTTGAGTTGATACAACAAAAAAAATCATGAATATTGTTTCCAGAAGAAATTTTGATTGTTTTTAGAACAAAAATGCTAATTCTAAGCACATGTAAAATGGATAAAAGCACATGTAAAAACAGTGACCCTGATTATTTGTACTAAGAAATCCATTGCAATTAGCGCGTTGTACCAGAGAAAAAATGTTACTTAATTGTCCATCAGAGCGTAATTTAGTGAAAAAATAATCATTCAAGTGCCCAGATTGTGCTTCTAACCAGAATGAGTAAAAAAAGACAACGACGACTGCAAGTGCACGCCGATGTCTGATTCCAATTGATTGTTCAATTCCTTTACTGAGTTCCCAGGAGGAAAACAAATTTTTTTGATTGATTGTAGGTATTTTCTCAAATAACAAATATATTTTCACAAAAGTATCAAATCACAAAAATATTTTCTACAACGAAATGGTTGTTTGTTTGAAGATGTGAATCCGGAGCTGTATTATGAGAATGTGGAAGCGATAAAGAGAATCTTCGACACCAGCCGGCTGCAGAACTACTCAACCATCACTCTGCCCACAAATCCACTCACACTTTGTAAGTTATGGTCACTTCTCCAACCCCCCCCCCAACCAAATCTAATTGAACCCATCTGTTTTAAACGAGGCAGCGTTTGTTTGCGGAGCGAGTTCAAGTCCAAGCCTACCATCGTGGAAACGGTTTGCTTGAGACTGCAAACATATTACCCAGTCCACAAAAAATTAACCCAAACAGCATGCAGTTCCTAATTAGAGCCATACAAGCGGCTTTCCCTCAAAAATTGGCAAGCTGTGGACATATATGCGAACATGTACTTGAGAGAAAAGTTATGACTTTTAAATTTAAACTGAGACAATCATTCGTAACTTATGTTATTGTTGGTCCACGAGTACTAAGAGGATGTATTCGAAAAATAATTAATTTAGACGTGAAATTGATCGTGCAAGAGTTGATTGAGCTGGACGTGAAGAAGGAGCAGCTGGAAGTGATGGGCTGGATGAGGCTCATCTGGCAGGACTCCAGACTGTCATGGAGCGAGGAGATGTTCGGAATCAGGGAACTGAGAGTGTTCCCAGACAATATCTGGACTCCAGACGTTGTCATCATCAACTCGGCCCAGGAGCTTCCCAAAGGATCACACCTTCCAGCTACTGTCGATTCCACTGGTATGGGTTGGATTGGAAAATAAACAAAACAAGCAGAAGTTAAGATACGTCATAATTTTAAACCATGGATCATGATTGACTAGTTATTAGTAATTTACAGTGAGAAAAATCAAAGTATAAATTAAATACTTGTTTCAAACTGGTTCCAATATTACGCAATTGAAAAAGTGTTCAAAACAAAAAATTCGCGGAGGAGTTAAACGCTGTTTGGTTAAGCTATTTTTTATTGTAGAATTTCAACCTATGAGAAAACTTTAACGTCTGATAACAATATATAAAACTATCAGAATTGAAAAAAAAACTTTTAATATGAGAAAACATTTAATCTACTGTTAACATTGTGAAAATCAGTATTAGATCCTTGTTTAGTAATCCAGCAAAAAGAATTCATATTTTTTGGCTAATTGTGTTTACTAATCCAAATTTATAGTTAATGCAAAATTGTTGAGCAATTTAAAGGGTCAAAAAACGGTTGTTAATATTTAAATAAATTTTTTAAAAATATATTTTTTACCAAGTTGTATGGTTGAATTCAAGTAAAATTTGATTTCAGGACAACAAAACGAGCATTTTTGGGTTAAGTAACTGTGGTATAGTGCTATTTAAATCAGTTTCAATTCATTGTCTGTAAACTAATCTAACTGTCAATCATGTGTCATTCTATCGGTGCTAATTAAATATCTGCAGGAACCGCCCAACAACCTGCCTGTCATCTTTGGTGTGACCTCTAGCTCTCACTCTTGTGCTATACTTTTGAAGATTAAGTTAGTTATATTTTGATTTGGATTCAGGAATTACTATTGTCGAACCGACTTTTCACATGGCGCAGTCAGCAGCTCCAAGTGAGGGTAAGAACCCATTGGGCATAACTGGGTTCTGGCCATCGAAATGCATTGAGCCGATCATGATGTGGGAATTTTGGTATACATGTTTTCAATTGGGGATGGTCGCCAAACACGGAGTAAACCATAAGACCTTCCATTCGGGTGGATCACTTACGACGGCTCAAATAACGGCTTTGCCAGAAGAGGTGGATGGCAAGAACCGATTGAAATGTGAGCAAATGTTGATTTCAAATCTATACCTGTGCCTGGAGGAGAAAGGGCAGGAGGAATTTCATAACATACCGCCGCATATGGACCTTGGGGCAACACGATATCCCCGAGTATTCGACGCACTAGAAGCGGAACTTAAGAAGGAGCGGATTGCAACTTATGAAATTTTCCAGTTACCGTCGAGGAAGCAACAAATTAGCGATTCGCTCGAGCATTTCACTCAGTGCTTAGCGGGTTGGCATCGAGGTGCAGTTTTGACACACTGGAAGACCGGATATTACGAGACGTTTTCATTGTCAGTATGAATAATCGGGAAGCCCAGAACGAGCTTTGCCGATCAACGAATACTCCAGAAGAAAAATACAAAAATGTTTCGTCGTACGAGCGGGGAGACAAGTATGCTAATTCATACGTTTCTACGACTACCGGAAGAGGAATTTGGTCGTCACCATCGGGAGGTGGCATAAAAAACAAGGAGGAATCAGTTGGAATTATCCGAAGAGGATGCCAAAACTCTCGTCCAAGTGCCGCGCAAGTGCCCAGCGAGCAAGGTTACCTGCAGGGAAAACAAGCAAAGAATAGGGGACGAGGTGCAGTCAATCTCATTCAAGAACAGGATGATGGACCATTGGATTATGCCGATACACCGGATGATGGCTCAAAACAACACGGAAAATCGGTTGGCTGGGTGAATCGGCCCGCGTTGCCTGCACGTTCACATTCTTGGGATTCGGATAGTTCTGGTGAGAACGTTGTAATGGCAATTCGATCTAAAATCTCCACTGAGCTCAAGGTCGCGGGTACGCACTTTTCTGTGAAGATTAATGGAAAGACCACACATGTATGGATAGACAGCGGATCACCCATCTCAATTTTCATCGTTGGCGAATGAAGGAGTATTCTGGGTGCACAAAGGGTCAAATTGGAGAACCTGACACCGGAAGATAACGAGTTCGGCGATTACGGAAATAACCCGCATAAGTTAATTGGAGTGATGAACGATGCAACTTGAATCGAATGCAGGGAAAACAGAGAACAGAATACGGGTGATAGGAGGCAACAGACCATCGATCATTAGACGGGACCTAATGGAGAACATAGGACAAAAATTGATGCAAAAACAACCAGAGCGCAAGGTGATGGCGATAGACCAGGATGCGACCGGGGACCCAGAGATTCAACTAAACCCGTAGCAGGAATTTTTAGTAAGCAAATTACAAACATCTTTCGCAGGGTAGGAAAAATAAGGAACTATGAAGTACAGGCTGATTTTTGTGAGAAGTTATCTCCGGTGCAAAAGAAAAGACGCCGGGTCCCAATCACTTTGTAAGAAAAAGCGGATAAAGAGATTCCAAATTACTGAAACAGGGGCATATTGAAAATTTGAAGAATGTTTGGATAAATACTTCGCTTCACCGATTGTTATCACGGTTAAAAAAGTTCGGTTAAATTAGCACTAGAAACAAAGGAATGAACAAACAAGTCCATAGCAACAAAAACTAGGTGCGTAATATTGAAGAGTTAATGAACACCGTCGGACAAACCATCAGTGAGAGAAAGCCGTGGGAGGATTTTTTCAACATTGGATTTGACGTACGCGTGTGGGCAGTTTCCCGTAAGTGCGGTTACGAGCGTTAAGTGTAATTTTTTACTAAGCGGAGTAAAATCTATCGGTACGTATTGTTTCAAGACCGGGTTCTATGGCCGTACAAAGATGCCGGCGAAAGTTCAGCGAACGATGGATAGCATTCTGTCGGAATTTCCTCCGGCTCACTCGTTCATCGATGATATACTGGTAGTCACGAAAGGCTGGGAAATTCATCATATAGCGACCGTAGAGAAGATCCTACGAAAACTAGACAAGGAAAACATGTCGCTAAAACTGACAAAATGTGATTTCGCATAAAAGAGCTGTGAATGGCTCGGACATAAGATTACACCGACGGGCATCACACCATTGGTGCGGAAAACCGAACCGATCAAAATGCTGAAACCTCCGCGAACTTTACTGCAGCTGAAATCTTTTATGGGCTCCATACGCAACTTACACAAGTTTTTGCCCGCGCTTGCTGAAACCTCCGCCCCACTTCGCCCACTACTCAGTCGAAAAAATAAATATATATATATGGCCAACGGAATGCCAGTCCGCATTTAAGAATTTGAAACGGCAAGTGGCCAACATAGTCGAGCTACGATTTTTCAACATGCATCTTGACATTCGAATAATATGTGACGCAAGTTACAACGGATTAGGGGCGGTGTTTGAATAATTAGGCATCGAAGGGTGGAGACATATTTGATTTCCCTCAAGGTACTTTAATGATGCCGAAAAGAAGCATTCAACCAACAAACTCGAGATGCTCGCCGTAGTTTGGGGGCAGACTATTTCCAAAACCACGTGCTGGGCCGAAAATTTTACGTATTAACAGACCATAAAGCCATAGTCTCTCTCTTAACGGAAACAATAAGAAAATAAGAATATGTTTAGTAGACTTACAAGATCGCTAGATCGTTTAATCATTTTCGATTTCCAAGAAGAACATAAGCTGGGGGCGAAAACCGGCATGGCGGACCATCTATCTTGAAACACAAATGGCGCAGCGGTGCTGGTAAGAGTGTATGATAGCATATTCACAGTGGTCAAAATTATATCAATACGTTGCACCTTGGGATACGATCAAACAATTAACATAGCCTAAAGTTACTTAAAATCTAACAAAATCAACAAAGAAAATATGGATAGGAGTTTTCGGAAATTAGAACGATTTTTAAAACGGCATCGCAGTTTACACAGTAGCAGCGACGAATTCGAAGAAATACCAACAACAACATCAAAATTAGAAGCAATTACAAAGAAGTGAAGATCCATTGAAGGAAATACTATACTTTCTTTACCTTCGGCATACGCCGGCAAAACTATTCCATCGGTTGATTCTAATAATTTGTTTATGTCTATTGTATCAAGGGGATAGAAAACTGTTAGCAAACTTATTTCATTACCAGAAATTTCAATCTGTAATTTACCGAATCCAAATATAAATCAGATCCACAAATACTAAAAACTAAACACTAAGAACCGTTACTACGCCCAATTTATTAAGGACATTTATGTTCTAGAAAACTTCGTGTGGATGGACGACAAGCTTGTTATCCTCAATTCTCTAACTACTGCAACCAACAACCGCGTTCACTGTTATCACCATGGAAAATCGAACATGTTCCAGGCCGCCAAAGACATTGGTACCGTACATATACTGTTTGATAGCATCTATGGCTAAGAATTGCACAGATTGCACAGAGTCGGGTAAAAACCTCAAAAACTCAATAAAAAGATATGATATGGGAAAAGTTGCACAGGCTAATGATCCTAATGAAGCGGTTCAACTTGATTTTTGGGGCCAGATTAACTACCTAAATGAATCGAAAAAGTATTTCATAGTAGCAGTGGACCGTTTCTCTCGTTGGCCGTCGGCTATGGTGGGCAGAAATAATACTTGGAAAAAAAATAAGGAAATTCTCGAAAACGTATATAGTAACCCATGATGTGCCAAAAAAACTCGTATAGATCAGGGAATGAACTTTATGTCAAACGATGTTGAAACATTTTGTAGCACTGAGGGAATTGAAATTGTAAAATCACCTGTAAATGATCATCGCGCTGCTGGATGTGTGGAGCGGACAATAGGTAGTTTGAAAAACTCTATTCTCACGCACGCAAAGGAAAAAAATCCCGAACCCTTGGGGAACATGGTTGAACGAGCCCTCGGTGCGCTTCGCTTTTCAGTTAACGCCACTAACGCCATTTGAAGCCCATCATGGGTGCGAGGCAATTACTTTTCTAAGAAATCTCACAAAGAAACCTTCGCTTCACTATTTGAATTGGTAGAAAGCACTAAAAGAGAAATCTGCATGTTTAGATAGTAGTGATCCGGCGGTGCAGGACTTACTCCCCTCCGGCAGACACCAACTGGGGTGTGCGCTCGGACTTGGTGTTTGAACCATCCGAGCAAGCTCACGGAGGAGCAGCAGGCCGGCCAACAAGACAAACAATTGGCTCGCAAATCGGACTATGTGGACCAGCAACCAGGATTTTCAGGCCACTTATATCAGCGCACTGGAGATCAGGATCTCCAAAGGTATAGAAAAATTATTTCAAAGGTGCAATCAACAAGCGCACATACAATTACTCTAAACAATGGCGTTGTTCTTCGGCGGAAATCGGCGGTGGCAATCTCAAAAAATTCAAAGACGGTTTCAGCAAAGTTTCCTCAGCCGCCTACACCAAGGGATCTAAAACGGAAACAAACACTGACTAAGAAGCAACCATTATCGGAGCCAAAGAAGCCAAGAACTCTTAATCAAATCACTAAAAGCCGTTGATCCGAACCAATTAACAAGTCAAACAGTGAAAACGAAAGCGAGAACCTTCCGCTCTCAATCAAGCGAACGGTGGCCAGGCACAGTTACTTGGCAGAGTCGGAAGCGGAGCCCTCTGAGCCCGTGGCGCAACGTCTGAACTGGCGGATGTAGAAAAAGCTGAACCAACGGCAACAACCCAAATCGGAATCAAGGAACCAGCGGCACCAGCGACAGGCGTAGCGGGAAAAACGGCAGATACTTCGCAACCGACGGAAACTAAGAAACGTGTACGCAAACAACGATTGTTGTCGTACAGTATCCAAGACTCGAACGACAGTCAAGAAACAACAGCGTCCCGAAAAAGTGGGCGTAAACGAACGGCGGTCACCAAGGTTGGATGGGTGATGATAGACCATATTTCTAAGAAAACCGACCAAGGAAAGGAGTAAAATTGAAGCTTATACTGTCCAAAAACTTTATCGAAGTCCAAGGAGAGGGCTGGTTGTACTTTTGTGGGTCTTCCTAAAACTCAAATTCTTTCATTGCCGTCGGAGGTATTTTCGTTTGTTAAAACTCCAAATGCAGCAATAGTTAAATTCATTTCAATTGAGTACTTTAAAATTTACCATCCGATAGCTTTACATATGTGCAATTTTCAGTCAACACGTTTTTACAATTTTTTCAATTTTTTTAACAGAGGGAATGTCGTATAGTGCTATTTAAATCCGTTTCAATTCAGCATTTGTAATTATTCTAACTGTCAATCATATGTCATACTATCGGTGCTAATTAAATTCCTGCAGGTACCGGCCAACGGCGTGTCTGTCACCTTTGGTGTGACTTCTAGCTCTCACTCTTGAGCTATAATTTGGAATATTAAGTTAGTTATATTTTGATATGGATTCCGGAATTTACTATTGTCGAACCGACTTTTCACATAACTTTGCACAGATTCGTTAACCTACAAGGATATTGCCGGAAATTTGACATTAACATATATTTTTAAAAGTTACCCTGATTTATGCATGAAATAGGATGATGATGATAATTGAAATGGCCAATTGAATTTTGCTTGCTTAGGGTATGTGTACTGGTTTCTGCCTGCCAGAATCACTACAAGATGCGAGACAGACGCCCGTTTCTTCCCATTCGACGTCCAAACTTGTTTCATTGATTTGGGATCTTGGACTTACTCACAAGAACTACTGCAACTGACTTTACTGGAGTACAAAACCCTGTTGGAAAGAGTCTCGCAAAACATCCAGTGGAGCATCACAAACATCCAGGCATCCTTAGTCACTGCAGAACGCTTCTCAGAGTTCCACAACAAACCCATGAATTTCTCAAAAGTGCAGTACTCTTTAACGATAGAGAGAAAACCTAGTTTCTACGTGTATTGCATCTTCGTCCCAATTTTATTGGGAGCCAGTTTGGGAGCTCTCACTTTCTTGATCCCCGTGGACAACGGGGCTAAAGTGTCCTTTCCCATTTCAATGTTCCTGGCACTTTTTGTCAACCAGCTAGTCATCAAGTGAGTTAAGTGCTAAGGTCTCATTGTAAGCTCTATGCATCCATAGAGATAGCTTTTCGGCAAGGCAAACAGTAAGAAATAAATTTTTACTGCCGAATGAACTCTACAGCCGCATTCTATGCTTTAAATGGTTGCTATACGTTAATAGCACGGAGTGGGACACAGAAAAGCAGACTTTACAAACAGAATAGCAACATTTGATGCTATGATGTAGACTTTACTAAGACCTTGACAGGCAGCTGGTCTTTAGAGCCGAACTTTTCTTTGTTCACACAAACTTATGCATAATAGACACAATTCTTTTCATATGAAAAGTCCCCTTTTTCCTCAAATTTGCATAACGCTGAGTGATGATAATTGTCGCATAACTGTCAGATAAAGGGACAAGAGCGGAATCGATTGGCACTTAATGTGATAATTTGACAGGTGTGAGCAATATACATAATTTATGAACTCCCTTTTCTCCCATTAAAATGATAGATATGTGGCAGGATAAAAAAGGGTAGGGTGTTAGAATAAAATTACCAGCGTGGTTGGTTTCCGCTCTTTTTTTGGATCCCTTGAGTGTAGAAAAATTACACACATGTGCTTTTTCAATTTCAACTCAGGTGCCCATATCGCGATAGGGGGCTAGTATCATGGGCGAAAGACCGAATGGGCGAGTTACTCATGGGCAAAGGACCGAAAACAAAAACAGTCGAAAGTCATTTATTCAAATACATCAATTGCCATTCAACTAAAAAGGAATTAAATGAAGCAATGTTTTGCTTCTTTTATAACCAAAAACTTATAATATGAAATATGTCCTAATTCGCCTGCGGTAAACGACATTTTGAAAATTTTGCCGTTTTTTATTCGGCAAATACTAATTCTAAGTCCCTAAAAATGTTTACTTTCTCTGAGTTTTTCACGTTTCTTGCCAACGTTTGAATACTGAAATCGGATATGCTGATTTTTATTTTCGCCCATTCGGTCCTTTGTCTATGAGGGTTTCCATTATCGCGATATTCATTTCATTCTTTTGTGACACCACATGCAGGCTGCAAATGGTTCCAAAGATAGATGCTTCTTAAAAATTTCTATCAAAAAAAGTTTCAATATGAAAAAATATTTGGAATATCATAAACGTAAATGATTTTAAACGAAGGTATGACAGCCGCAATCATGATTTTTTGTAACTAATTTTGATCCACAAAGTTTGGGAAACAAATCAAACTCAATTGCAAAGGCAATTTAAAGAACAATAGTTTTTTAGTTCCCTCATGGTTTCGCATAATCTTTAGTTTTTGACAAAACACGCGCTTTTCAACTTTTCAATTTTTCTGTTGGATGTGATTCTGAAAATATGTTTATTTGTTCAACTATTCTATGTTTAGCAACGCCTTAAAACGCCAAAGCCATTTTATTAGGCCAACATTTTTTGGGGCGCTGTCCATTTTTCTTTTGTCTCAAGTTGGTCGGATTCTTTTGGCTAAACATTTCACAGTATTATCAAAAAATATCAAAGTAAAAATTTGAACGTTCCGACTGCATTTTAATGTCAAGTGAAAATCTTTTTAATTGAATAAGTGGCAAAAACATTGAATGAGAAATAAAATGAAAAAAATAATAATTTTCATTTTTTTCTATGGTCTATCCCCTCACACGCAGAGTAAAATGCAAAGAGTGTGTTTAGCATAGCGCCTTGTTTTAATTCTTTATGACAAAATTTGATGTCTCAATCCAATTTGAAACGCATTAATTTGTCGCTTTTTCGTGTTATAAGAACGTGAAATAACGCGGAATAATTGTCCCAAAACGACCAAATTAGCAATTTTCAAGCCCCTGTAATTTTGCAAAAAAACACAGCTGAAAAAAATTTTTGAATGTGAGCTCAGGACAACAACAACTTATAGATGATATATAGAATTTCCGTCAAAAACGCTCAGTTACAAATTCAAAAATTGATTGAAAAAAGAATCACCCTAAGCATAAATATTCCGCACTTTTGTCGAAAGTCGTAACAAACAATCGGCAACCAAGCAATACTTTTGTTAAGATTGTATCACAACAGTTATTTTGTCTAAAACTTTTTAAAATATACATCTAGCATGAAAGCTATACACCTTTTTAGTGAGGCCCATTTTGAAATAATTGGATCCGGGCATGATATTCGTTCGATGAAAACCGTGAATAAAAAACGAGTGGTATTTGAAAATTTTTCAAGATCATAGAGAATTGAATTATTAGAAAGTTTACAGAGATTAGTTGTTTCGACTTTCGAAGAAACTTACGAAGCATTAGTGCTCGGAGTGTTTTTTTCCTCCAGATAATTTTCGACGTTTTACCAAGCGAACTTTGACAAATTTTTCTTATATATCATTCGAAAGGTGTAGTTTTTTTGAGCTCAATTTTTAAAAAATGATTCAACTGTGATCATTTGTTGTGAATTTATAGGACTTTAAAAATTGTCATTTTGGCCAGTCTAGAACTATTAAAGCGCAATATATTTTGTGTTATTAACGTGTAGGCGGAGATATAATCCGTCTTAGAAATAGTTATAAATCGAATTGAGGCAAACTATTTGACTATTTTATACTTTGCTATATGCAAAACCTAGTTTTTATACTTTACATATCTCAAAAAATTTGAAATTTTTAAAAATTTTCAAACGAACACTACCACATAGACCCGAAAAGCCAATCGGAACATTCAGTGGTTCGGCCTGATACGATCAGTCTTGTTTAGTGTCAAGAGAAACTGAGTAGTATAATTATAGCAGGTACCTTGAATGAATGGAATGGTGAAATGATGGTAAAGTGTTCATATTACAGAAATAATCTATTCCTCCCAAAAGTGAAGCAAATACGAAACCGAGTTCTACTATATTCTTTACTTACATGAAAAATAAAAAAAATGCATGAGTAGAAGAACCACCATTTGACTTGTTCAGCTGTTACGGCAATCTGTTTTTAATTTTGTCTCAAATTAATGCCTAAGTAATTCGGATTACATGTTGGTTAATGAGAAATGACCGGTTTTTTGTTTATTCTCAGCCAGTTTGTGCCTCCTTCGGCTGACACGATGCCCCTGGTGACTATCCTGTGCACTGTTCTGACCTCCTTGTTTGCCCTGAATGTGGCACAGACTGCGATTGTGCTGAGAGTGTTCCACAGTGGCATGAATGCACACAAGATACCCGTGTCCTACTGCCTCTACACTCTGCTCCACTTCCTAGAGAATATAGGGAAGCGATCATTCATATACAGCCACGTCTACAACCCACTACACAGGGAAGTGATGAGCATTGTAACATAGAATAATACAAGACTGCTCGAATCAGGGTGAATGTTCCGACTCTGCCTTTTGAGGTCTATGGGGTAGTGTTTGCTATAAAAAAATTGAAGAAAGTTCCAAAACAAATCACATTTTTTTGAAATTTGTTTAAAAATCATCCACACACGCTATTTAACACAATATGACGTATGAATAAAATGATATATTTCGTACCAAAATATTAAATATACTAGCCGGCCTGAAATCAATTTGGTAAGATTGACACGGATGATTAAATCTCCGCTTCATGGTTAAGAGTACGACTTATAGTGCGCGTGAATTGTCCCAAATTGTCTTATTTGGCTATTTTTAAAACCCCATTTCTTTGCAAAAAATAATCACAGGTGAATTATTTTTTTGCATAGCTCAGAACAACAATACTTTTTGAATGATAAAGAAAAACGGTTGTCAAAGTTGGCTAGTTAAATAGTCGAATAGAAAAAAAAACAGAAAAAAAAACACCGCGAGCTCAAATATTTTGTCACTTTTTCCGAAAGTCGCAACACTAGCAGAAATTATGATCACAACAATCATAGAAATAATTATGAGAGTCATACAACAAATAAGAAAAGTAACAAGACTATTCGTAACAGGGCGAAGCCCTGAATGTTCCGACTGCCTTTTAAGGTTTATGGAGCAGTAATAACATTAAAAAATTCAATGAAATAAAAAAAATGAATTTTTTTTTCTAAAATTTGAAATTTTTTATGAAAATCATCCCCCCACACGCCATATAAAGTACAAAAGGATAGATTTTGCTCCTTGTAACAAACTAATTATGGCAAATCAGCTTCTTTTAACCCTTTTGGAACGATTTCTAAGACGGATTAACTCTCCGCTTACGCGTTAATAGCGCGAAATATCGCGCGTTAATTGTCCCAAATTGGCCAAAATTGCAATCTTTAAACCCCCGTAACTTTACGAAAAATGATCACAGGTGAAATATCTTTTCAAATTTGAGCTCAGGACAACAATACCTTTCGAATGATATAAAAAAATTCCGTCAAAAATGGTTAGTTAAAAAGTCGAAATTTGTCTGAAGAAAAAAAAACCCACCCCGAGCACAAATATTCCGTTACTTTCGTATCGAAAGTCGGAACAAAAACCCCAGATGATCTAGGATGGCTATTGTGCAAATTAATTATTGCATTGCTTCTTTGGATCTCAAAAGACGATTTCTAAGTCACATATAGTAGTTATTATACAACTCGCTTAGCAGGAATTTTATCTAAATGCGTTGTATAAGGAGTGCAGTTAGAATGTAGAATATTACATACTCGTCAAAAAATAGACAAACACAATAATTGACCAATTGGAAGTGAGATAAAAAACGAACCTATGCAACATTAAACAAGAATAGCCGGTCGCTGTGAAAATAGTACAGACCCTAGTTTTAAAAAAAAAAAATACGATTTTTTTTTTCAATTTAATATCGTTTTTTTTCTGTGTGGTGTCATGGTATGATCTGAACGAAAAAAAGTTTATTCGACAGTCATAGTCAAATAGGCCAATTGGAAAACAGTGAAAACAGTTTCTGTAGAAAAATGACTAGTAAAACGAAAAAAAATCAGATAAAAAATTTACGAAATGTTTTTTTTTTGCAGTTTTTGATTCTCGAAATGGCGCAATCGTTTTCAGAAGCTAACTTTACTGGAGTAAAAAAGCTCTCACGGCTTAAGTTAAGCTAAAATAAGCTATTGTAAGTCTTCCAGCTTGATTTTGACAAATCTTTTTAGCTCAAGAATAGACCAAAAATCAAAAATTTCATGTCAGTTTTTTGTCGAAACTGAAAAAAAAGTTCATTTTTGTAGGTCATTCAAATCTAAACTGGAAGAGTTTTAAAATGATATATTACTTGAATGATACCGATGATTATTTGCGGAACCTGACTTTTTGTTGAAAACAAAAACAAAACAAAAATTAAATCACACCCGATTACAAAGTTCCTCACTATTTTACTATTTTCGAATGGTTGGAACAATAGGACTGCTCAAAGTAGGGCAAAGCCCTGAATTTTCAAACGGTTTTTTAAGGTCGATGGAGTAGTGTTTCCTTTAAGAAAATGGGTTTTTTAGAAGAAAAAATTTTTAAATCAGCATTTAAAAATTTTTTTTTTGATAGCATATCCCACACGCTATTTTTGAAAACATATCTCATACGCAATTTAAAGTGCAAATTAATACATTTTACGTATCGAGAAGTTTTTTACCGGCCAAATAGCTTGCCTCATTTCATTTTTGAACAATTTTCAAGACGGATTTAATCTCCGCTGACGCGTTAATATCACAAAATGTATCGTGCCTTAAATCTACCAAATCGGTCAAACTGGTTCAATTGGCTATCTATAAACACCCATTTTTTTCCGAAAAAAAAAATTGGATTGATCAACTCAGAATTTTTTAAATTTTAGCTCAAGAAAACAATATCTTTTATATAAATTTTTCAAAGGTCTATATCTCGCGCTAATAATGCGTAAGCGGAGATTTAATCCGTCTTAGAATTCGTTCCAAATTGGTTGAAAGAAATTTAATTGCCATAATTGATTTGTTACAAGGCGCGAAATCTATCCTTTTGTACTTTATATGGCGAGTGAGGGGATGATTTTCATAAAAAATTTCAAATTTTAGAAAAAATTTTTTTTCATTTTGTTTTATTTCATTGAATTTTTTAAGGTTATTTATGACTGCTCCATAAACCTTAAAGGGCAATCGGAACATTCAGGGCTTCGCCCTGATACGAGCAGTCTTGTTTTCTTTTAAATTTGCAAATGGCAATTTTTTGGGTCTTTATTTTTTTCGGAGGTATTTTTTTTTTTTGGCTATCCGGGAATGCGGCTCCGTGGGTACGCACCCAATTAACGCGTAAGCGGAGATTTAATCCGTTCTAGAAATCGTTCCGAATTGGTTGGAAGAAGCTTATTTGCCATAATTGATTGTTACTAGCTAGCAGCGAAATCTGTTCTTTTGTACTTTATATGGCTTGTGGGGGGATAATTTTCATAAAAAGTTTCAAACTTTAGCCAAAAAAAAACATTTCATTTTATTTTTTTTTACATTTAATTTTTTAATGTTATTACTGCTCCATAAATCTTAAAAGGCAGTCGGAACATTCAAGGCTTCGCCCTGATACGAGCAGTCTTGCTTTTTTGTCAACACGTTTGGTTTCTTAATGTTCCGAGTATCGATACGAAAGTAGCGGAATATTTGTGCTCGGGGTGGGTTTTTTTTTTCTTCAGACAAATTTCGACTTTTAATTTAGCAATTTTTGACGGAATTTTATCATTCGAAAATTATTGATGTCCTGAGCTCAAATTTGAAAAAATATTTCCCTGTGATCATTATTCGTAAAGTTACGGGGGTTTAAAAATTGCCATTTTGGCCAATTTGGGACAATTAACGCACGATATATTTCGCATATTTCGCGCTATTAACGTGTAAGCGGAGAGTTAACCCGTCTTAGAAATCGTTCCAAATTGGTTGAAAGAAGCTTTTTCGCCATAATTGATTTGTTACAAGGAGCGAAATTTATCCTTTTGTACTTTATATGGCGTGTGGGGGGATGATTTTCATAAAAAATTTCAAATTTTAGAAAAAAAAATTCATTTTTTTTGTTTCATTGAATTTTTTAATGTTATTACTGCTCCATAAACCTTAAAAGGCAGTCGGAACATTCAGAGCATTCTATCATATGACATCTATTTTTGTCCAAATTCGAACTACTTATCTTTTGAAAAATCCCCAAATTCAATCAAAGTTACTTGAATAATTTTCAATTCAAACATAATTTGGCCGCTCGCCTTGCCACTTAAATACCACTTAAATATTTGTCAGTTCAGAAATCCTTGAAGTTTTTTTTTGCGCAAAAAAATGAAACAAACATTTGTCAGTCAACGCAAAGTCTTCAATCGCTGATTAAAATTTGCAAAACAATGAAAAAATTGTTGTGCTCTTTGTCGGCGGTAGAAACATTTCTGACAATTTTCATTGCATGGCAAAAAAAGACTGAAAGGTTTTCATCATGATGCATTATTCAAATTCTTGCGATATCCATCTGTAGTACATTTTATTGCGTGTAAATATACATCCGAATACAAAGCAAGACTGCTCGTATCAGGGCGAAGCCCTGAATGTTCCGACTGCCTTTTAAGGTTTATGGAGCAGCAGTAATAACATAAAAAAATTAAATGACAAAAAAAAATGAAAATTTTTTTTCTAAAATTTGAAAATTTTTAATGAAAATCATCGCCTCACACGCCATATAAAGTACAAAAAGAGAGATTTCGTTCCTTGTAACAAATCAATTATGGCAAATAAGCTTCGTTCAACTAATTTGGAACGATTTATAAGACGGATTAAATCTCCGCTTACGCGTTAATAGCGCGAGTTATACCGCGCGTTAATTGTCCCAAATTGGTCAAAATGGCCAAAATGGCAATCTTTAAACCCTCATAACTTTACGAAGAATGATCACAGATGAAATATTTTTTCAAATTTAAGCTCAAGACAACAATACCTTTTGAATGATATTAAAAAAATTCCGTCAAAAATGGCTAGTTAAAAAGTCGAAATTTGTCTGAAGAAAAAAAAACCCACCCCGAGCACAAATATTCCGTTAATTTCGTATCTCAGTCCGTGGCCGAAAAATAACCTCAACCTAATTTTGTCTAATTTTTCAGTTGTGAAAAAATGCCTGACTAAAATTGTGTAACAAGATATATTACATCGATCTTGCGTTTTTCCAACATTTTTCTCTTAATAGAAAACTGGGATATACTTCGAGAAGGGGGATATTGTTGTGCAGAATAAGTTGGTCGAATTTGCGAAAAATCAGAATGCAGCAAAATTAGAATTCTCAGTAAAAAGCTTCATTACCAATTTACTGTTTTTTAAGAAGTCTTGTTTCAACTCTGATTGAAAAACAAAGTCTAATTTATGATATGTGTATTTTTGCTGCGTAATTGCTGCCTAACTGTGTTTAGCATA